CGTGGCCAATTTCAAGCTATAAATATGATTGTGGAGTCCATGAGAAATGTAAACCAGTAACATGGTTAGCTGTTAACCAAAAAGTTGGAGGCTTGAGTGCATCTACAGACACCTTAGGAGAAAGATCTCGCAAAGATCTACTTCTGAAAAATTAGCCACTATCAGCCTTTACAGCAAGGTGCTGCCATTCAATCGATTCTGACACAGACTCAAAATTCACTTCCATCAAGCTGCTAACTCATAGTGACCCTGTAGGCTAGGGTAGGACTGCCCTGTGAGTTTCCGAGAATGTAACTTTTGGAGGGAATAGAAAGTCCTGGCTTTCTTCCATGGAGTTGCTGGTGGTTTTGAACTGCTGACCTTTTGGATTGCATCCAATGTGTAACTTCTGCCACCAGAGCTCTTTTTTCTGGCTCATAGCCATGCTATAACACAGAGGTCAAGTGCTCCTTGGGATTTCTGAGGCTGTGAACCTTTACAGGTGCACAAGGCCTCATCCTTCTTCTGCAACGTGGCTGGTGGATCTGAGCAGACCCCTTGCAGCCAGCAGCCCGATATTTAACCCATAGCACTAGCAGAAATCCTATTCTCAGGATAGCTCGAACTAAATCAATAAAAAACCTGTACATTATTTTATACTGTTAACTTTGTTTATTGAACAACTAATGTATCATAGGATATTGAAGTGAAATTGGTCTCCTCAGATGTTTTAGTGAAACATATGCATCTCTCTCTCACACCGACATCTGCCCCCTACCATCGCCATAAGACAGTGTCTCACTCCAGCTTTTTTTTAATCTCTCAAACATTACACATTTGGGCATTCTAAGATATCAGACTTAAAATTCAGTGCTTGGAATAGAATCATTATGAGCTTATGCCCGCTGAGAATTTGCATTTTGAGCTAGATATACTGAATAATAGTTAAATTCATAAAAATACATTTTAACAAGATCCTTTGGTAATTCTTATAGCCCTCCAGATCATTTTTCCAATACATAAAATCTTGTTAATAATGTCGAATCTGATTCGGTACATTTGTGGGAGGAATGCAAGCTTTCAGCAAGTGGAAGAACAGGATAAATCAGTTGGAAATCCTGTTCAAATTTACTGTTCTTACTGTACTGAGACAAGAAAAAATTGTCAAGAAATTATTCTCACTGTCACTGAGTTAATTCCAATTCCTTGTGACAATTAATAATATTTCTGAGGCTGTATATCTTGATGGGAACAGATAGCTTTCTTACTCTTATATAACTATTGAGCTTGAACCATGAACTTTCAGGTTAGTAGTCCAATTCTTATACAACTGCATGACCAGAAATCACTGGTTGAATTCAAAATTCAATAGTTATTTTTACTACGAAGCTAAGTATATATTTAAAAAGAGTCAGAGTTTTATCATCAGAATTTTAATTTTTATCAGATGCCTAGGCTGCATGTCAGGTCTCCATTGATGTCTGAGTAAGCAAAACATAGTATTTGCTAACCCACATAAAAATACAGTACATGTTTTTAAACCTGTTAAGATTTTCACCATATTCTCGAGCTGTTATTGGAATCAGTAAATGATCAGAAATTGAAAGGTTTTCCTAAAGTTTATGAAGAAAATAAGAAATGAGGCACCATAATCAAAGAAACAAGATGGTGAAAGGGAAAACCAAACCCATCTTGTAGGAAGTGGTACGAGGAGGGCTGTGGAGGGATAACTTTGCCCTCGTGAGTGGCAGCCTTCTCCAATATTGGGTCCCTCTTGGTAGGAAAGGAAGTTACTTGGAAAATGGGAATAAAATCAAGGAGAAAGAATTAGTCATAGAATAATTTATTTTACTTGACCAGTTTAAACACCCTTGATTATCAACAGCAAATCAGACCTGGGTTCCTATGTTATTAGACCCAATGCTCTATCGAGTTAAAAGCTCCAGTGCTCGCTCTCAAGTTTTCAAATGGGTAAGAATTACCTGGGAAGCTGATTAAATGTAGATTTTTAGGCACTACAGTCCTAACCTTGACACAGTATTTTTTGTTTGTTCCTTAAACTCACAGATCATTTAGAAGGAGCATAATTCCAGTGCCACAAGGAGGTGAAAACTGCCATTTCGGCATGGTGTAAACAGAAGTGTTCTTCAGGGAATGGCTATTGTTGGAAGACACGACAGAGCGAAACACTATGCGGTCCTGTACCATCTTCACAATTGCTCCCATGTTTGAGCCCAGGGTTGCAGCTAGTGTGTCGATCCAGCTTCCTTTTCTTCAATGCTTCTCTACTTTACCGAATATAACGTCCTTTCCCATGGAATGGTCTCTGCCGATAACTTGTCCAAAGTATGTGAGGCCAAGTTTTGCCATCTTTTATTCTAAGGAACATTCTGGATGTGCTTCTTCCAAGACAGATTTGTTTATTCTTTTGGAAGCCCATGACACTTGCAATATTCTTTGCTGGCATCATCATTCAAATGCATCAATTCTTCGTGGGTCTTCCTTATTCAATCGACTACTTTCACATGATCAGAATTGAAGACTATTTGTGGACCCAAGCGAGTCAAAATCCTTGGCAACTTGAATCTTTTTTCTGTTTATCCAGGGGTTATTTATTGGTCCGGTTGTGAGGATATTGATTTTTTTAAACAATAAGTTGTAATCCATACTGAAAGCTACAATCCTTACTCTTCATCAGCAAGTGCGCCAAGTTCTCCTTACCTTTAGAAAGCAAGATGGTGTCATTTGCATATTGTAGATTAACAAGCCTTCTTCCAATCCTTCTTCATATTATACAGCTTCTCTGATTATTTTCTCAGCATACAGATTAAATAAATACAGGGAGAGGATAAAACTCTGATGCACACCTTCCTTGAGTTTAAAGCAGGCAGCCTTCTTTGGTTTTGTTTGTATTGCTGCCTCACGAGCCAGGTACAGGTTTCTCATGAGTACAATTAAGTGTTATAGAATTCCCATACTTTTCACAGTTATCTCTAGTTTATTATGATACACACAGTCAAATGTCGTTGCATAGTCAATAAAGCACAAGTAAAAATTCTTTCTGGTAACCTCTCCTTTCAGCCAAGATCCATCTGACATCAGTGATGTCAGCCCTTTTATATCTTTTACTGAATCCAACCTGAATTTTGAGCAGCCCCCGTCAATGTGCTACTCCAAATCATTGTTTGATGATCTCTAGCAAAGTTTTACTTGCATGTGATATTAATGCTATTTTCCCATAATGTATGCATTGTAGTGGGTCACTTTTCATTGAACTAGATACAAATACAGATATATTACAATCAGTTGGCCAAGTAGTTGTCTTCAAAATTTCTTGGCATAGATGAATGTTTTCAGTGTTTCATGAGCTTGCTAAAAATTTTCAATTGATATTTCATCAATTTCTGGAACCTAATTTTTGGCTAATGCCTTCTGTGCAGCTTGTACTTCTTCCATGCCCCACCGCTGGATGGGTAACTGCATTGCCAGTGGCCACTTCCGGTCCTTTCCAACCCAAACCACTGCTTCCCGTCTTACTCAAAATTCTCACTGCCATTAAGTTGATTATGACTCATATTGACCGCATAGGACAGGGTAGAAATTCTTCTGTGGGTTTCGGAGATTATCTTTTTCCTGGGGAGGAGCTACCGACCTTCAAACTACCGACCTTTCAGTTAGCAGTGCAATGTACCACAGAGATTTATATCATTATGAATCACTTTTATACTGATGTACTTACTGTGGGTTATAATTTTCCCATTAAAAAGCTTTCCACTGTGACCATATTTGTTCTTTAATGGGCTTTGGCCATCAGGGCATTTTGCTCCATCTAGTACTGGTTTGAGCTTCTATCTCAGTGCACAACCTGAAAGCTTGGTCTATCTGTGTCACGCAAATCACTCCTCTCTTGCAGTGATTTGCTGACAGTGTCATTTGATGGAGTGGAATGTTCTGTAACTCATTTGAACTCTTACAGAGGCTTTGCACAAAGGTCACCACTGCTCTTAGCATTTCCAAATCTGGGCACCATCTGGAAGCTTGTTGAAGATAAGGATTTCCACTGGTTGTTTGCATATCCACTAGATCCAGTTAGGAAAGGGCTACTTTTCCAGAGAAGTTGGTGCTCACACTTAGAGAGGGGGAGAAAAAGAAACCAGGAGAGATAGTGAGAGGGACAGTAAAGGGGAGAAGAAAATCATAGTTAATTGGCCAATTGTGAGCAGGATCACTTTGCACTTTTGATCCAAGTTGTCAGTCTTGAAAAAGTTGCAAACAGTTTGCTTTTAAATGTTTTGTATTGATCATCTTTAAGTGTGGTCTTGGGATTCTGCACTAAAGGAAATTGAATTTTACCATTTACTCAAAATTAAATAGGAAACTACAGCTCATTCCTGACAGTAATAAAGGCTTTGTATGTTCCCCACTCACCCCACATGGCACCGAGAATATTCAAGTTGTTCTAACTTTGCAGGCTCAAATGTTTAGGCCTGCAGTTGACTTTTATTTTCTTTCTGCTTCCTTCCTTATGAAACAAAAGCCTTAAGTTTTCCAAATCTCAAAAGCTCAGCTGTGATAGGACACCAGTAGGAGGAAAAGGAAAAGGAAAGTTTCCTTCAAAGATGTCTCTAGTCTCCATGGAGCAATTTCGTTCTTTCCCTTGAAAGATTATGTCTTTTAACACTTGTCCTCGGAAAACGTCCGAAGGTGGCATACGGCAGAGGCAACATTGCTTGACTTCCTGCCCGGAGCTTCCCATGACCTTGGTGAGTTATAGCTGCTACTTTTATGAGTGGAACCAAGAGGTAACTACTCTCCACCATTCGCATCCACATCTGTGGGTGAAATAGGTAAACACATCATGAAATCTACTGAATTAAAAACCAAAACCCCCTCTTTTGGCTGGAACCCTTGAAAGGGCGTGGACCAAAGAGACTGCACAGGGACAGCCGAAAACACGGGCTCATTGCCATTAAAAATATTCCAATAAGTGGGTGTCTTTATCGCAGACTACTTGGGAGAAGAAAACTTAAATCATAGTTTAATCTCTCTGGTCCCAAATAAAAGATATTAAAAACACAACGACAACGTCTCCTTCAGTGCAATTAACCTGGTCTGAAAACCAATACTGCCTTTAGAAAGGGGAGAAACTTATTTAGAGTATATTCCTTTTTGAGCTAAGGAAAGACGTCCTTCTGGCAAAATCTTTTCACTCCATTCAGGACCAGAAGACTTAATCTTCAAGTTCAAAGCTTGTCTCGTCGTAGAGGTCAGGGCGAGCTGACTTTCGGTGCCGGGAATATTTCAGTTGCAAGAGGTCGCCAAGCTCATCAAGGGCTTCTAAGACCTGCAAACGAGATTGCCCAGGGTCAGTTATCTTTAACCTCGGATGTGGCCATGCCCTTCAGTTCACAGACAAATGGCACGTCTCCTAAGCACCCATTGCTTCGCTTTTAAAGAAAAAGAACAATGTTCATATCATCAGGTTATGGCTTATAAGTACTAGAGAACTGCGGGATGCTAGTTCATTTTAAATAATTTTCTTCAATGACCTAACTCCATATTATGAATGCCTATTTTATTTGGGGGGGGATAAGGACGGGAGCGCAAGGAATGGGCTCATTCTTGGGGGAGCAGTGGCTAAGCCCTCGGTCGACAATGGAAATGTCTGTGGTTCACACCCACGAGTAGTTCCACGTGGAGAAGCGTGTGGCCGGCAGGCAGCCTCGTGAAGCTTGCAGCCTTGCAGATGCTACTGGGCAGTTTGGCTTTGTCCTGAAGGGTCACTGTGATTTGGAATGGACTTCATGGCAGTGGGGTTGGGATTTTTTATTTCGTTTTGTTTTTGTGCTTGGCTATATTCATTCAGATATTTCAAAGTATTCTATATCGCATATACTCGGCTATAAGCCGAGCTTTTCAGCACATTTTTCATGCAGTTTTTGTGGTACAATTAGGTGCCTCGGCCAATATTCGGGTCAGCTTATACTTGAATATATACGATCTGTCTGTCTTTATATAAACTTACTCTCCCACTGCTATTGACTCTGGTCAGAATCATGGCAACCCCTTATAGGATCTCTGAGACGGTAAAGCTTCACGGAAGCTGGGATCCTCTTCAGGTTTTTGGTTAGTAGCCCGATGCCGCATGTACAGCAGCCTTAGGGCATCTGACTGTGTGTATACTTACTACGGTTGATTCTTCAGCAAACTAACTTGGTCTAAACCAAAATGGAACTTTTTGAGAGCATATCAGTATCTTCCTTTATCCCCCGAAGCTTTATCCTTCTTCTCCTCAATGTTGTGTGGTCTAACAGAACTTTATCTCACAAGAGCCAGATCCCTCATCCCTTGAAGCTTATTTACTTTAGCCCAGTACATACATTTCCATTTTACAAAGGAGAAAATTGAGATCCACAAAATAAAGTATTCAATTTTTACTCCTAGCTTATTTCTGGTCTTAGGGTATTTAGTGTATCTTTGAACCTGTTTCAGTCTTGTTTTCTTAATCAATGCAATGAGGTGGAAGACAAAAGGTGCTTCGAAAAAGATATAATGAGAGCAGGTACCATTCGAATGAGTGATGAATGGAACTTGTGGGCATTTGTCTTGAGATATGTGTTCCAAGTGGCATTGGCCAAAATGTTCACCACCATGTTAAAAACACAACACAACACAACAAGCAGTTGCTTCAAGATGACTGGCTCTGACTCACGGAGGCCCTCGAGGGGGCAGCAGAACCGTGATCCATACAGTTTTCAATGGCTGCTTCGGGGGCAGTATTATCGCCAGAGCTTTCTTCCCAAGCACCTCTAGATGCATTTGAACCTCTGGCCTTTTGGTTGGCAGAGAAGCTCATTAACTGTTGGTACCACCCAGAACCTCCACCACTACATTAAGGGTGGTTTATTGATGAGTGGTAGGATTACGGGTGATGAAAGTGTTCTGACTCTCCTGTACCTCCTAAACTTTCCTGCACAAATGTAAGCACTAGGAAAAAGGAACCGAAGTTTTCTTTGAAATGACATCTGTGTGGGATGTTTTCTATTTGAGTCTACGTGAAGGTGGGGGATCAAAGAGCTCAGTGCCCGCTCACGTGATAGACCTTCACACTCCAAGGAAGAGATGAGAAAGTTCATGGAGAATGGGAGAAGAAAACACGAAAACTTCTACTAATATGTAACTCCATATGTTTGGTTTCTACTATTGTGTTTGTTGTATGGTATACAAGTCATCGGTTGGCTAGGCATATATAACATACAGCGATCTGTGCCAAAGTCCACTGAAGATGACCAGCAACATGCATGTGATCTTATAAAGCCAGGGGCCCCAGGGCTGCAACAGCTAATTACTTGCTTACTGACCGAAACCACCCAATGCTTCTAGGGAGAAAGGTGTGGCAGTCTGCTTCTATCTACTTCTGAAAAGTGACCAGTGAAAACATAACAGACGATTGTGCAACTCATTTGCTTTGAGCATGCCATCAATAGGGACCAAAACTCTACATGGGAACATTGCATTGTGTTAAGCTAGGGTGACGGAGCTACTCAGTCAAATGGACTGGCATAATGTGTGGGCTGGCATAATGAGCTTGTACATAAGCTCACCAGGAAACAGGCTTGACTTGATGGTAGTTACTTATCTCTCCACTGAGCTTGCTGCAGCAAGGGAGAGTACTCTCTGGAGAAACTATAGGATATCTGAGTAAAGAGTTCAGAGAGGCTTCTGTGGGCTGTGATTGAGATGCTTCTAAAGGAGCAAGGACCAATTTTGGTTTCCATGCTTCCAAGAAACAGGGAGACTTCAGTGGGCGTGCATTTATAGCTTGATGACGTGTGGAGGATTAAAGTGAGGCTGGAGTTGTCATGGCCCTTACATTCTAGTATACAGTACACAATTTGTTATGTATATCACTGCTACCCAGTTGATTCCAACTCATAGCAAGTCTATTATAGGGCAGCGTAGAACTGCCCTATTGGGGTTTTCAGACTGTGACTCTTTATGGGAGTAGACAGCCTCTTCTGTCTCCTGTGGAGCTACTGGTGGTTTTGAACTGCTGACTTTGTGGTTAGCAGCCCCAAGGGTAACCACTATGCCACCATGGCTCCATGTCACAAATATGTACAACTGCAAATGTAATGACTACTGTGAAAAAGTCTTACTGTCTCTGAAACTCAAATCTGGTCTGGGAAATAGTCAAATCTGTCTTGGAAGAAGTACAGACATAATGTTCCCTAGAGGCAACGATGCCATCGAGTCGATTTCTACTCATAATGATCCTATAGGACAGAGTAAAAGTCCCCTTTTGGTTTTCTGAGGCTGTGAGCCTATGTGGGGGCAGAAAACCCCCTTTCTCTGTTGGAACAACTGGTGGACTCAAATTGCTGACATTGTGGTTAGCTTCCCAGCAGGACTTTTTGATAGGAATGATATTATTCAACAATTTTTACATTTTGTTGGGTCACCTTTCTTTGGAATGATCACAGATATGGATCTCTTCTAATTGGTTAGCCAAATAGTTGTCTTCCAAATCTCTTGGTTTTGGCTAAAGAGTGCTATAGCACTGTATCAATTTTGAAAACATTTCATTTGGTATTCCACCAACTACTGGAATCTTGTATTTTGCTAATGCCTTCAGTGCAGTTGGAGTTATCCCTTTAATACCATCAGTTCTTGATCACTTAGCAGATGAATACTGTTATTTATTTGTTCTTTAATGCACAATCTGATGAAACATTCTCTTTCAACATTAACTTCATGTATTTTGATATTTTTCCACAACCACCAAATCTGTTATAATAATAATAATTATAATAATAAAAAGCCTGCTAAGCAATAAGTTCCTGTTTGTCTGACAAGTTTGTCTTGTTGAATGTTAATGAATTTCTTTTGATACAGTGATGCTGTATTCCTTCTATCTTCTTTCAATGCGTTTTCCTTATTATTTTGACTATAGAATCCTTCAACATTGCAACTCAAGGCTTGGCATTTTCTTCCTTTTTCTTAGTCTGGAAGCTTGGCTGAAATGTGTTCACAATTGGTGACCCTGATGGTATTTGAAACATCAATGGTATAGCTTTCATCATCACAGCAACACACAAGCCATCACAATTAGACAAACTTAACAGACGACGTGTGGGAACTTACTGCTTAGTTGGGTCTTTTTTTTTTTTTTTTTTTAAGGAGCCCTGGTGGTGTAGTGATTATTCATTGGGCTGCTAACTGCAAGGTCAGCAGTTCAAAGCCACCAGCCTACCCAGAGGAAAAAAGATGAGGCTTTCTTTTCCCTTAAAGGGTTATAGTCTCAGAAACCCACAGGAGTAGTTTAAACCTGTCTTATAGTGTCAATAGGTGTTGAAACCAACTTGATGGCATTGAGTTTGTTACTTTTTAATTATGAAACATTTGGTGGTTTTGAATAGTCAGGATATAGGAGTTAATGAAAGAGAAGTTAGATAAGATTTGTCCCTGAAGAACAGGTGAATAGCACAGTATTCAACTAAGTCATTCTTCTTTTTGCAACCTGAACACTGCCTCGGTCCATCTTCCCTAAAAGTTTTTCTTTTGTATCTACTAAGTTGAATACATTGTAGCTATTTCTAGCATACCTATTTTTTTCTTTTTAACAGTTAGTTTCATTTGTGTTGTTTTTCTAAATCACCAAAGAGAAACCCAGGGTACCTCAAACAGGCCCAAACCAAAGAACTTGTTGAAAATCCAAGGTCACAGTACTGGAGACCCCGGACGGCAACACCATCGCCTGCGGAGTACTCACTGTGTCCAGATTCTCCCGAGTATGTGCTGCTGACATGCAAATCCGAGCTCTTGCATCAGCAAGGGGAGTGGCTGGAAAACCAACGACAACCACCCCGATTTTTCTCTGTAACAGATGTCGTGCAAAAGCCCTAGGAAAAATTTTAAATGGGTTAGTTGAAAGAAAGTAGAATTATCGTCTCAAACAAACTTAATAAATTTGACTAAAAAAGCTAAATGAATTAAAAAATATTTTGTACGATGAGGAGTAGAAGATGGTTGAAGTCATTAAAATCCTGTCAAATATGACTGCTCAGGTAATGCCACAGTCGCTTACTGGACACTGCCCATATCTGAGTGTTGGAGTATCGTGGGGTCTGATGCACTCAATAGAGAGTTGTGGGGACTGTCTTTGACATTGAAAATAAAATGTTGACATGTGTGTCAACCTTGAAGATATTTATATTTCTGTAAATGCCTTATCTTCAGGGTTCCTAGCTAAAAACCAAAGAGTGTATACAGACAAAAACCAAACGGGATTACATAAAGGAAGGGTACATATTAAATGGGCATTAGTTCAGAAGTAAAATTCTCACCTCCCACATGGGAGGCCTGGAGTCAATTTCTGGCTAATGCCTCTATGACTTCTCAGTCAGCAGAGATTTGCATGATGCTGCTATGCTTGGAGCTCTGGTGGCATAGTGATTATAGGTTAGGCTGCGGTCCGAAAAGTCAGCAGTGAAACCATTAACAGTTTTTCAGAAAAAAGTTGGGTCTTTCTACTCCCATAAACAGTTACAGTCTCAGAAACTTACAGGGACAATTATAACCCGTCTTGTATAATAGCTATGAGCCAATATGGACTCTACAGCAGTGAGAATTTTTTTGGTGGTACCAGACAGGTTTGATGAAGGTTCCACACCAAGAAGGACTAGGATGAAAGGCCTGGTGATCTACCAAAAAAAAAAATCAAATGATAAAAACTTTATGGCTTGCACAGGACTGACCTGCAACTGATCATGGCACAGAACCAGAGAACGCTTTGTTATATTGTGCATGGGCTAACCATGATTCTAACAGCAACAACAATGTGTTAAAGGGAAACCTTGATGTTTAAAAATCTTAGTTACTATCAATCACTTATCTAGTGAGGAGATTAAAGAAGCTTATCTTAGTAACAATAATTTGAGGATCAAGATAAGAGAGTTCCTGGATGGATTTTACTTTTCATTAAACCAGAGACATCAAAATTCTCCTTAATTTTTTATTAATGAACACACCCAGCTTTACTCAAAGGTAGTCAACCATTGTACAGATTAAAGTGGAAAGGAGCAGAAGCAGGGAAGAAAAAGACACATGTGGGTAGGTGTAGCATGTATGCTAGAATCCACATAACTACAAAGCTTCCGGTGCGTTAAGTACAACTTTTTAAAGCTATGGGTCCTTCCCCATAGTTGCTCATTTCAATTTATTCTAGGATGTCCGGTTCTTAAATCTTCAAAATACTTGTACTTAGAGCCAATGCCAGACAAAAAAGGCAAGTGCCTTCAAAGTCAATTTGTTAGACAGGGTTCTCTAGAGAGACAAAACCAGATCGCTAATAATTATATATATATATGTATATAGATAGATACATAACACAAATCCCACATGTGTTTATCGGCCAGGCTGGCACAATAAACAAACTATCTCAGTCAATCTTTTCCCCTTTGTGCTCAGAGGCTTTCTGCAGGAAACTTTTATTACTGAGTACCTCTACCCACAACTCTGTTCTCAGCATTAGGAAACAGTTGCTCTATTATTTTGGGCTGGGGGTCAAACAGAGCCCCACAAAATCTTCCAGCCATAATTTCAGAAAAATACTTGAACCAGATATTGAGAGTCAGTCTGCTTGTCCATCTTCCCCCTCTCTCTCCCTAGTTAACAGTTAGGCCTTGGGGTTTCCCCATGAAGAAGGTAGTACATGCAAGGAAACACTGGAGATAGCAAGATCTACAGAGCAAACAGCCTTCCAGCCCCCTGGCTGGAAAGGTGAGCTTTACTCTGGGACTGGAACCAGGCAGTCATGAGGAGCTTGTGAGGCTTTCTAGCTGAGAAAACGTGAACACAAAAGCGATGTCTCTCTTTCTTGATCACCTGATAGAAGGCTGCCCACCGCACCACAGACTGAGAGCACGTCATTGTCTGAGAAGCCAAGGAGGTGCTTTTATTGCTAAAGTAAAACCACCTCACCCATGATCTCAGGCCAGTGTTTAGGACTCCCAAAGGATTGTGTTCACTGTTTGCTGCCCTTTGCACCGAAGCAGCACAATTGCCAGAGAGTGCGCAACAACACACGTGATTCTCTTCATTCTCGAGGCGAATCGGGAAGTGCAGCACTTTTGAGTTTAAACCATACACTTCTCAGCCAAGCTTCTTTCAGTTTATATGTGTGATTGCCCACCTTTTTTTTTATCAAGAATGAGTCTCTGGGTTTGCACTTCCCAGTGCAAATTAGAGTTGGCATCCGCCAAAAGAAACTCAACAATGTGAAATAATAAAAAAAATAAAAACATTAACACTGTATTGCATGTAGCACCACAGTACTTCACATGTTGCTGCCTTCCAAGTGTATGGTGAAGACTGTGTAGCAAGATGCAAATCACATTGCACTTAGTAAAATCAGCACAGTCTTGATTATTAATGTGTATGTTTTATAGGTGAAATCATAGTCTCTTGAACTCCATAGTAGATTCCAGTTGTAGAGTAGTAGCCAGACTATGTTAAAAAAAAAAAAAAGGATAACTGGCTATAGAGTATATTTTCATTATAAAGTATGTGGACATTGAAGAAATCTCACTTCTTTAGTAAAATAAAAAGTTTAAAAATTAGCAAATTAAAGACACGTTTATATTATTTACTCCCGATTTCAAACACTTCTGTACATGTGAGCTTTCAATTTAAGAAATAAAGTTTGTATTTTCCATTGTAGTAATTGATGCTTTTGAATCATCAAGAGTAGCATCAAAGAGCATTACGTTTATATGCTGTGATGTTTTAATGAGATGTGCATTTTTAAAAATGGTCTAAAGTTCTGAGGTTGGACTGGGTAGTGAAAAGGGCCTCAGGAGGGAAACAGAACTCGGATTCAAATCTGGCCTTTACTACCTAACGTGCGTGTGGCACTGAGAAGGGACTTTTCCCTTTCCGGGTCTCTGCCTTGTCATTTGTACTCTAAGGATATGGACGGCACCCTTAGTTCTTCTCCACAGGTGGCCTGCAATCAGCATTCAGTGACGCCATCCTAGCGACCATTAAGAGTGACCCTGGCCCATGGCAGTTCCCGGCACAAAGAAAGAAAATGCGGCCCAATTTTGTGCCATCCTCAGGAGAGCTTGTGACAGGGACCATTATGACTCACCAGGTTTTCACTGGCTGATTGTCCTAAGTAGCCCTTCCTTTCCAGTCTGTCCTCACCTGAAAGACTTGCTGAAATCTGTTTGGTATTATAGCAACACACAGCCCCCACTGACTGTTGATGAGTGATGGCTCTTGTACAGGACAGGCATTGGCTGGCTCTCTCTCACTGAAGGCAAGAATTCTACTACTGAACCAAGACGGCCTTTCTCAGCCAGGTAAGTTACTTCTTCAAAACAATCTTAGGTGGAAGGAATGAAATCATTTGACTTACCCAATATTGAACATCATTGACTGATGCAGAGTACAGAAATATTTTTACCTACTATTTTTTTTCTGGGAATTTTATTCTTTTGCATGTAATAGAAAATTGCAATATTTACTTCAGGGAGTCCTTTACCCACACCAACTAAGCTTACAATTGCACTCAATTGAAAGTAAAGGGATTATAGTTGTCGTTGTAAGAGCAATAGGGACCTGGGTTACAGGTGACCTGTTGGGCTGCTTATTTTGAAGTCAGCTGTTGAAAATCACTAACTGCTCCATAGGAGAACGATGAGGCTTTCTACTCCTGTAGAGTTATGGTCTCAGAAACCCACAGGAGCAACTCTACCGTGTGCTTAGGGTCGCTATGAGTCAGAACTGACTCGATGGCCGTGCTCATGGTTTGGCTTTGGAGTAAGAGCAATCCAATTACTACTGTGAATGACTGTCATTTACTGAATGCTTAAACTTCAATCACTACACTTAGTGTTTCGTGCATGCTATTAATATTGTTAATCATAATTGCTGGTGTTGAGGGACTCTTAAATGGCAGGCAACATGTCAAACGCTGCATAGACCTCATCCTGTTTAATCTTCACAGTGGATTTGGATCTGAACCACTATTGACCTTTCATTTAATAGCCAAGCACTCAGCCTTACTATTACATCTCATTTTATGAATGTTAAAATGGGGGCTTTTATCAAATAACTAATCCATTATTTGCAGATAGGAAGGGATGGAGTGAAAATTCTGTTTGATTACAAACATCTCACTATCCCATAGAGTATAAATTTTACACAAAACTTGTCTTTCAACTGTTGTCCATCTGTATCTCCTGACATATAGAAGCATAGACAAATTTTCCCTCCATTTCTGTTCTAGTGAAGTTGAATTTTTTAATTTAAATGAATTCATTTTTACTATGCATGGAAGCTTCTCTTGAGTTTTGTTCATTTTCCCAGCTTGTTAAGATTTTAACTATAGCTTAGACCATCAAACTTAGAACTCTTCAGCACACTCCCTAGTGCCATTAGACTATCAATGCACATTTTAAAACTTGAATATGTTTATTTTTTTATACTACCATGTGAATGAATGATAAAATATAAAATAGATAAGTGCTAAGGGTTGAGTAATTTTTGCAGTACCACTCTGAATAATTATGGGTTTTCTTTTGTCTTGCAAAATCATATGGGAAATGATTTTGGATTATTTGGTACTTTAAGTCATTGTGCCTATCTTACTGATATAAGCACAGAGCAATATTGTATACAGCATGTCTGCAGCATGCTGTCTTTTTGGTTGCTATGTAAATCATATCTCTGACATATGGAAGTTGTATGGTGGACTAAGATCCTCTGGGTGTGTTCTTAAGTCATTACGCATTTTGTGTGTGTGTGTGAGACAACAGATAATATTTTAGAAAATCAGTGATTTAAAAACATAATTCTCCCTCCCACCATGAATTCTCTATTAATAATTTGGTACTTTTCTATACAGTACTTCAAATATCCTGCTGATTGATCCAACTGTCAGACTGTTAAAGGATGTGGTTGTGATGGGATTGCATTGAGGAGAGCGAGGACTTATACAATCAGACAAATATTTTGACAAATATGACTTTTTACCGTGAGCTTTGTCAAAGATGTAAATAAACATTTCATATTTGGACAGAAATGTATTGAATCTTCTTTTAATAACAGAGGATATTAGTGTCTCAATGAACCCAGGTGGCACAAAGGCTGAGTGCTTGGCTGTTAAATGAAAGGTCAGTAGTGGTTCAGACACACTTCCAGCTCTGTGTTGGGGGAGGAAGATATGGCAATGTGCACCTGCAGATCTACAGTTCTGGAAACTCTCTGGGGGAAATGCTACATCGCCGTGTAGGGTTGCTGTAAGTAGAAATCAACTTGAAGGCAATGGGTTTGGTTTGGTTTTTACTTAGTCTGTAGCAGGCTTGAGTATGGTTCATGTATTATGTTACCCAAATATTACTGAGAAAAGGTCATTTTGTCTCTGTATGCAATTGTTACTAATGATCGATTCAGAGTAGTAATCAGTAGAAAGTAATCCAAAGGGATTTACAGTAGAAGTATTAAAGTTGGGAATTAGCAGGATAAACTTTTGAGTATGATTAGGTTTGGATTCATATCTTCAGTGTACTACTTCTTGATCTGTAGGACTCTGGGAAAGCTTTTCAGTGGCTCTCAGTGTTAATTTCCCCACACTTAAAATGAAAATGATCATGGTAATGTCCTCCCAGAATTGTCCTGAGGATTCAATTACGGAGTTTTTGTACATGTTGGCACAGGGTTTTCAGAAGTTCTCCACAAGAAAGATCTTGGTGAAAATGTGGCTAAAGGTAGCTGTCTTTCTCCTTTAATTTTCAGTTGCAGTCTAGCGAGCTAAGTGATTTCCCCAAATTTGTGGAGTTTGCCAATGGTCTTAGGGAGATAACTGGGTCTGGCACCTGGTTGTTGTTTTTTTTATGACACCCATGGAAAGGCCCTGTTGAGGTGTGGCAGGTGACTTCTGGAAAAGATCCCCTTCAACATGCATAAGCTAGTGCTGTCCTGGGGTCAAGAACACGATTTTAGCTGGATCTGCTGAGCTTTATGTCTTATTCGGAGACTCTTGAATACTTACGCGACTTTACCAGGCATATAAAGGAGCAGGGGGATAAGAGGCGATTCTTCATTGCCATAAACAATGAATCCCATTTCGTTTAGCCTCTGTCTGAAGTATCTTGTGTTTTTTGCAAGTTGTTGGACTCTCTGCAATCCTGAAAAGAATCATGCATGAAATCCGTCAGGGAGAAAATGTCAATTCACTAGGCAAGCATTTCTAAGGCTTTTTATAAACCTGCATCAATGGTCAGGAGGACAAAGGCAGATGGGAACTAATTTCTCGTAAGCAGGTTTGAGACCTGCCACCCAGGTACTGCCATGAGGCTGAAAGCCAGGATCCCAGGGAGGGTGGTGTGTGGCACTCCGAGCTACTAATCCCACGCTGGGGAAGAGTGCACTCGCAGGAAGGAAGGTGAACTCTCATTGCTTGGTACCCATTGGGAATAAGGGGAGCCCTGGTGGAGATGAAGGTTGTACGCTGGGCTGCTAACCACAAAATTAGCAGGCTGAAATCACCAGACGCTCCTCAATGAGAAAAACAAAGCTTTCTACTCCTGTAAAGAGTTATATTCTCTCAGACCCACAGGGGCAGCCCTGCTATGTCCTGTAGGCTCATTGTGAGTCAGACGCGACTCAATGGAAGTGAGTTTGGCTCTGGATTTTACTGTGGACAGGATGTGTGTGAAGTGCTTTGTCGACACTGACTTGAGTGAAGGGTGTATGAAAAGTAACAACACACACACACAGTTGTTGGCGGCTTTTTAGCCAAGTTGAGGAGCCTCATTAAACTGTTTTTTTAATCAAAGTCTCTAATAAAACAAAATTCTTCCTACAACCCGAGTTGGAAAGGGCAGCCCATGTTCAGACAGGAACAAGTCCGACTTAGATTAGGGTCAACTGAACGTGGGCTCACTTGTTTTGGTGAGGTCATACTGGAAGGGGGAAACGAGATCTTTGCTCTTTCCCCCCTGGGAAAGACCCGGACTGACTGGCAAAGCATATCTACTCCTTACTTCACAACAATTTCATTGTCTGACATTGTCATTTTGGACAATAATTGAAAAAATCTACTACCTGACTATTTTGGACATCCACAACATTGTATCTGATAGTATAGAGCACGGAAGTCCCTGACAGGATTCCTGTGTGCACATAGGGGGGGAGGGGGGGGCGGAGCTTGTGTTGCATGGTGTTTATAAGCACCTTGGAAAGGAATTGGGGCATAGTCCCTCTGAACTACCCTGGTGCTAGGGGTTGGCTAGAAAGGAGCTGGTAGAGATTCAGGAGAACTGGTGAGGCCAGAGGGCTGAGGCCAAGGCAGTGGCAGCAGTGTCCTGGTTGGACCATCCTTGGGAAATGGGACTTCAGGGTCTAGTCCCAGCTTCCAGTCTCAAGGAGCAACAGGGCTGGGCTGAGCTGTGGAAGCCCGAGGCAGGCCGCTCAGGTACTCAGCATCCTCAGAACACCACATCACCTGACACCTGTAGTCTCTTATGTTTCCTGAAAGCTCCCTCCTGGATGGGCACAGGTAAGGCAAGAGCAGATTACCTGGATGGGGGTGACTAGTGGCAACTACAGCTTAAGGCCAAGGGCAGAAGGTAAGCCTGGCCACCACAGGCTCAGAGGAAGGTCTGGAGTGTGGATTCTTGTATGGGAGTAGGGCCGTCCAGAAACAGCCAGTGGATGCTCAAGCAAGGGGAATCCAAAGGGCAGTGTGGCCCACCTCCCACCATGGACAGGGATCCTCTTGCCCAAAGCAAAACTACCAAGGGTGTTTTGGGGTCACTAAGCGGTTGAGCTGGGGCCATCTATCCTGAAAATATAGTGAGAGCAGGAGTGGAAAGGTAATCCAAAGATAAGGATAGGAAGAGGATGGCAGTTAGACCACCCTGGCTCTCGAATGTTGGGTGGCTCTCCCTTGTGGTGAGTGGTAGGGACTGAGGTTTCCTGAGGGAACACAGGGCAAGGGAAGATGGTGATGGCAGGTGACCTTGGTAGGGGCTCAGCATGAAGTTCACAGGACAGGGGAGGTGTTGAGGTGATAATGGCCATCTTTCATTTTCACATAATGCTGATTTCTGCATAATGACTTGCTCTTCAGACCCTAATCATGTTGATAAGTTAGGAGTGGCTGTATGTCTGTCCCCAAGAAGGTTACCTTAAGTGTGTGACTCAGTAACAAGGTACACATGTGAAAAGAAAAACATGAAGAGATAATTTTGAAGCTATCTATAAACTCCAGCCGTCGACATTTTGCCAGCTAAGTGCGTACCAACAAAAACAAAAACATGTTTGGTTACTGAAGGGAATGAATGTTACTGGACACTTTGGTGTGCTCTTGAGTTAGGGAAATGCATCGAGTAGCCATGCTTTCAGAGGATGTAGAGCTGCTATTTAGCAGGAATGTGCTGATACCATTTTCATGGTGGTCTTCAGCCAGCCTCTAGTTTTGTCAAATATCATCCATTCTAACTCATCAGAGTTATTCAATACTTTGAATACCTTCTATGAGTGTCTATAATTTTGCAAAATATGCAATATCATTTATTACCATCTAAGTGGAAAATGGGAAAAAATGTCAACAAACATAGCAACACAGCCATCTTCTTGGAAAAATGGCCCCAGGCTGTACCTAGAGGAAGGGTTGAGCATTGGCTCTCTTTCTCAATGTCCTTTCTTCAAGGGAAAGCGCACTGATGTAGGGTTGACTCTGTCTTCGATCTCTGCTGTAGGGTATTGTTCCCCCGATTAATAGTTCAATGAAGGAACCCAACCTTGGTCAGTTAGACCTTCTTTCAGGTGTACTGGGGGAAAGTATAAGCATCAGATAATCCTAAAACTACATTTTTGGGTCACCAAGGAAACCTGCTCGAGAATGAAGTTGATTCAGGAGAATGCTGAGGCATAGGACAATTAATTTTTAATTAATTAATTAACAACAAAACAAAACAACCAGAATTGTGAAGCTATCACCACAATCAATTCCAGGACATTTCTTCTTCCTTGTCCCCCTTGTTGTTAGTTCCCCACTTCCTGCCAACCTCCCCTGTCATATCCAGTTGTAGCCTCCAGAGATTTAGCTAATCTGGGTTTCATAAACAAAAAATCATACACAACCAAGATGGTATACAAACAAATGGCCCAATAGCAATGACTCAAAAAGCAAAGAAAATCCTCAATCAAAAATCAAGTAGAAAATATTTAAAAACTGGACCAATTATACAATGGGTCAAAAGGGAGATCAATGCCAAGGTGTCATATTTCGACCTCACTGCAACTGTCATCATCTACCCTGCAATGAAACCTCTGTGGGTTGTGTTGACAACTTATACAGGGAATGAAGATTGAGTTGAGTGGAAAACTAAACAATTGTGCAAGTTTACTTTCTCTCACTACTTTCACCCAATCCTCGATCCCAAGAAAGATCCTTCTTCAACTCTGCCAACATGCAGCTGGCAGGTTGTGCTAGAGCAGTGGTTCTCAACCTGGGGGTCGTGACCCTTTCACAGGGGTTGCCTGATTCATAACAGTAGCAAAACTACAGTTATGGAGTAGCAATGAAAATAAATTTATGGTTGGAGGGATCACCACAACATGAGGAACTGTATTAAAGGGCCATGGCATTAGGAAGGTTGAGAACCACTGTGCTAGAGAAAGCATCTGGCTTATTGTATTTTCTACAGAATGCTGACCTTTCAATTCCACACACTGACCATAGCCAATTGAAGAGGAATGCCCCCAACCAATTGGCAGTCCACGTGGGTATTGGTCAAGAACTCCAAGGAGGCTAATTACAGTTAATCCCTCCCATATCACCAAAGAGATAAAGATGAATTAAAACAATCATATCTTCTTTGCAGTTGATGGAGCATGGATTTCAAAAATGTGGGGAGAGCCAGCAGTGAATAACAAGAGTAGAAATTGAGAGCTATATATATAGAAAAGTAGAATCTATGAGACCGATGAAACCATGAGTTAGTAGAAACTATGGCAAATCTTGAAGAACGGAAGGATAGGAGGTAGCAACAGAAACAGAGAGAAGAGCTATAGTCAAGTGGGTGAGGCAGACATTTATTAAATAATCACACAAATGAATATTAAATTGCAATGCCAATGAACTATGCAAGGGAACATTACAGTCTATGAAAGCCCATATTAGTTATTGAAATCAGCCTGAGCCCAAGGAAGTCAGGAGGCAATGAATGAGCAGAGCGTCAACAAGAAAACGTGGCAGAGTAGAACATTCGAAGCACTGGGGCAGGCACAATGGCATTATGGTTTGGAAGAAGACAGAGTCGTGGAGAACCAGGCCAGTTGTGGTTGTGCATGGCACAAAAGGAGAGTATGGGAACATCTTTACAGGAAGATCATGTAAGACTGTCCTTGCTTTTTAAAAATTTAGATTTTAGAGGTAGGTTAGGAGGTAGAATGGAGAACAAGTTTGTCATGAAAAAACAAAAAACTTCTGGTATCAACATAAGAGACAGACTATCATGCATAGGATGTCAAATTAGAAACATATAAGAGAAATATCAGATGTGCTTAAAGATCAGAATCTGGAGTTATGAATGTGCGGGCCATAGATATTTAAGTGGTAACTGAGGCCCCAGGCATACGTCAAACTGTCGTCCAGAGAAAGAGAAAGTAGAGGAGGAGGAGGAGGGGAAGAGGGAGAAAGAGGAAGACGAAATGGAGGAGAGACAGAGATAAAAAATTCTAACAATTAATTGTTGGGAAGAGGAAGAAAAGACTGTGAAGGTGATTGGGACAAAACAGTATTCAGAGAGAACATTAACCAGGGGGTGAAATGGTATTCATTAGATGTGTAAATAGGATGGTCATTTATAATGTTTTCTTTCCCAACTGACCTCCTTAAAAAAAAAAAGTCCTTCCTCAAAGAACTGTCAGATGTACAACATTCATACAAGTAAGGGATCTGGAGATCCGTGCAACCATCCATGCACATTTTGTTTTACAGATTTACAAAAGCAGACAGGTTTCTTGGAGTATTTAAAAAGCCCTTTCAGCAGCATGCTTCAATGTCCCTTGGGAACTTGCATTAACAACTATTTCTCTTCCGTACAGAACTAGAAATTAGAAAAGGAAAACTTTGCCTTGATTAAAAGAAGAAACCCATTGTTATGCCTCCATCAAA